TGTGATATTTGCTGGAGATTGAGCTGGAATTTGTTTTCTGTACCTGAAAGTTCCTCTTGGCTTACTTTGGCAGCTTGTACATCTGTGTTTGAGAAACTTGGGTTATGTTTGCTCCTGCTGCACTGTGGACAGATCCTCGTGCTTTTGTGTTGGTGCTAAGTATGGACTGTATTACAGGCTTTTCAGCATCCTCTCAGCTGGATCTGCTCGAAATGCTGGTTCCCATTACAGTATGAATAAGCTTGCTTGCCCTTGAGACCTCTGCATAGGAACATTTTTAGCCTGTGAACCCTCTGGCTGAAGCACCAAAACTTGGCTTTCCTGACTTGGGCTTGTCCCAGCTGCGGGCCCAGCTGGGTCTGTTGGATGACCTGTTTTGCATATGACAGAGTGCTTGGCCATGAAGATGATCAGAGGGCTGGAAGAGCTGGGGTTGTTCAGCCCAAAGAGAAGGCTCCAGTGAGACTTTATTATGGCTTTTCAATACTTAGAGGGCCTGTTAAAAGTCTGTCTCCATTGAGATACTGGAACAGATTGCCCAGAGAAGTTGAGGATGCCCCTCAAGGGGGCAGGGTCAGGCTGGATGGGGCTTTAAGCAACCTTATCATCAGTGTTTCTATTCCACTTTTAGTTTTGGTGCTTTCTGCCTTAAGATGGCAGCTTGGATATCCACTTAATGTAACTATCTAAATGGGATTTCCGATGGGCTTTCTTTCAATTTTGTTGTAGTTTAAGTAGGACTAAATTGAAAAACAAAGTAAGATTTCCTTAATTTTTTCGGACTTACCAGCTCAACTGGTTTCAGATGGATTGGCAAGAGCAGATTTACATTGTTGAGTTTACAACTAAGGTTTAAAATAATGTTAGATAGTTCCATCCAAGCTGCATAGAAGGCTTATGGAGTAGATCATGCTCTCTCAGATTCCACAAGGGAGGAGAGGGTGCTTTTCTTCAGACTTCAGTTAGGGTGTGCTCCAAACTTGCGCTGGAACACTTGAGACCTTTCTCACATTGTATGTGGCTAAGTCACTGCCAGATTTTACCTTCAAGTTAGCAGTGAGTGTGGATGTAACCTTAACTTGTCTATATATGCTCCTTAGAGACTAATCCTGCAGTATTAAAAAAAAAAACACGTCAGTGTTTTAATGAAGAGGTCTTTGCAAAATACTATTAGACTTGCACAGTAAATTAGTCACCAAAAATCCTACAATGAAATATAAGTGTTTTTCCAAACACTTGCTGCTTCACACCAAGGGATCCTTAAAGCATGATTTCAGCTTTTTACTTGCAGCCTCTTTGGCTGAAGAGTTTTGTTTGTTTTGCTTTCTAAAATGAAAATGTTTCTTCACTGAGCTCAGGAGAATGTATGGATGTTCCTCTTTTGGCTGTAACAGTGGAAGTTGGCTTTAATTTCTGGTGGTTCTTTGGGGATGTAGTTGTAGTTTTAAGGTTGTGATGGGAAATATCTTTGGACTATTAGAAACTTGAGGGTTTTTCGATGTTAATAATGATTTAGTAAAAGTAAGAATGAAAATACAGCAGTCAATTTTGGTCATCCTCTTCTAGGCAAAAAGAACAATTTTCCTTTGCTTTTTCAGGTCATAAAACCTGATTTTTCTCCCTGCAGATTTTGAAGTTTTGGAGGAAAACCTTTCAGTGCTAACCATGCATTTCTTGAATATCAGTTTTGTAGTACCAAACTGTACCTAAAAGTGGTTCTGTTTTCTTCTCCCTGCCTCCTGCTTCCTAAAAAACTTAACATGCATTATTTATGTTTATTCCACAGCTATATAATTTGGGTGTTGCTGCCATTGAAGGTGCAGTTCAAATGATTACTTGGGTATGGTCAGAAATGAATGAATATATTATTTGCTGGAATTTTTAGTTATACTGATATTTCTTCTACTGGAATGAAGATAGTACATAATTAATATTAGGAAGTATTACAATCCTTAGAACAGAAGTAGTTCCCTTAAATAATTCATGTCATCACAGAAATTGGTCTTTGTAACAGTCTGCATACAGGAATGGATTCATATGAAGCTTTTTATAAGTAACTTGTTGCTTACCAGCAGGGAAGCCTCCAGTTTTCTCCTTGACTGCTTTCAGAGCTCTCCTTTGTGACTTTGCAGTCATTAATCTTAGAATTCTCCTTAAATCACTGATTTTATTTCTGCTGTGAATCACAGATCCTCCTTTGATGCTTTCTCTTTGAACTATTTCCTTCAGTAGTTTTATTAAATAACACAGATCTTGCTTTTGTTTCAGCTTTATACAGTAGGTAGTTTTCAAAATCCTTTGTTAGCAACAAGTTTGTATCTTAACTTTTATCTGTTTGTATGGAACAAAATGGAAAAATCTGTTGTTTAAAGGAGAGTGAGGACATCTTCCTTATCTTTGTGGTTGCCTAATTTGGGTTGTATGTTGAATCAGTTGGGAAACAATATGAACTTCAGTTGTTTGATTATTTTTAATAGGAGAAAAACGCGGCCAGTAATTGGAGAGAAGAAAGTGCTATATTGTGATGGGCAAAACATGCAAAACAGACAGTGGACTTCAGAACCACCAACTCATATGGTCTTTGTTTATAACTGTTTACTGGAAGTGGGATGATGGTGTGCTGTTATGTTTAAGCCTTAGTAGGTGAATTTTGTCGAAATTGTATTTAATTCCTTGTACTCTAGCTAAAACTTGTGTAGAGTATAAGAAAAAAGTCCCTATTTTCTACTATGTGCATAGTTTCCCATGTCTGCTTTATCCATAAACATTTGAGGTTTTCAAGTATGTAATTTTAATATTTGCCTTACTACATCTTGTATAATTAAATATCAGACTTCAAAAAAGGGCAAAATAGCCTTGTACATTTTTTAATCACTGGTCAAGCTGGTGTCTATGGTATGTTTTCTCCATCTGTTAATAAAATATATTAGCTAGCAGTTTGCAAATTATCCTCTTTAATACTACTTGAGATGAATGCTGTTGCAAAGGATAACAAGTAATTTGATTTTTTTTTTCAAATGTCAGTTTTTCAAATGGTAGAATGGAGATGGACAAGAGCAGTTATGTATCATACTGAAGAGAAGGTTCCTGTCCTTGCATTGTCGTTCACATGGAAGTCCAAGTGATGGTCCAGGGTTATATTCTGTCTAATACTTCTGATTTCTCCCACTACTACAAAATATAAGCAAATTATGTACTGTATATGACAAATACAAGTATTTATCAGGTTTTGTTTCCATTTTTTGTTTATTTATCTGTTGATAGTAAAGTATTAGGTGGACCCCTGGCCTGCAGAGCTATAGCTTGTGTTGCCTGAAAAAATAATGGTAGGCACAAGGCTTCTACAAAGGAATAGGATGCATAATACTGTAGTTAGTGCTATATACCGAAGCAATTACTGAAAGTGTTTTCTGTCTTTTGGGATGTATATAAACTGTGGGAAAGTATTTTAAAAACTGGAAGACAGAAAAAGAAAAATTCTTCGTCAGCTTGTCATTCAGGTAGAGATACACGTGGTAGAGACCTGAGGCAGGCAGTGTAGGGCATTTTGCCTAGTGCAAAGCTGCTTTAGAAGCGGAGACAAAAAGTCTGTGGCTGCAGGAAGTTTGGAGGGTTCCACAGGTTTATTGAGAATGCTGTCTTGGCAGTTGGATTCCAAGACAATCATTGGATGATTCTAAAATATCTTATTTTGTAGTGAAAAAGTCAGTGGAAAACCACTAAACTTACCATTTTGTTGTACCTCAGTTTTCCTTCAGACAGGTTTTAGCATTTCAATATGAGCATCAATTTATAACCTCCTGCCCAGATTAAGTAATTTTGAGGGGGGGTTCATTTTTACTTTTAGCTTATGGCTTATGTTTTGATCCAAAGTTGCATCTAGGTTGCTGCTGCCCTTTCAATTAATAGAATAAATGTAATTTAAATACTTCCTCTTATTGCTTCCATTATTTTGCATTTATTCTTGGGACACTTATAAATATGTCCTGTACAATTAATTTTAATGTATTTGAATTTAGACTGTATTGTGAAATTCAAACAATCCTATGTTTGGTATCTTATCTGATACTAACTTTCCTGTATAAAATCCTAGTGTTCTGTTTGTGTTTTGCCATCACCAGCTTCTTGCTTTTTGTTGGGGGGGGGATGTGTGTGCAGGTATGTGTATGTTGCACTTTGTTTCAGCCCTTGTCCTTGGGATGCTACTTTTAACAGTTTCTGTTTCTGAGGAAGCAACTTTACTGAGTGTCAGGTCTCTAGCTTGTAATTCCTGAGGCTGTCACATCAGAACAACTTGCACTGTTTGTGTCTTCCAGCCCAGCTGGAAATGAAAACTCTCTTGTTTTGACTTTCCCAAGAATAAAAGTTTCCAAATGTACAAGTGGAAAATCACAGTGTCACAGAATGTGATAACTAGTTACTGAATTAAAATATTTATTTTGATGTTGTAGAGTGAAAAATGAGAGAAGTGATGGTTCACATTTTTTTAATGTCTTAGATGAGTCCTGTGCATGCTTTCTACTTTTGCTGCTTTGGCAAGATGGATTTGTTCCTTAAAATAAAAGACTTAAGTTTTATTCTTTATTAAATAGTTGCACAAATAGCTAGTAGGTGCAAATTCTGGTTTGAATTTTACCAAGGAACTAACAAAGAGTTAAAGGATCTTCTTTTCAGGAGTATCTTCTAATACTGGGAATGCATTTTAAAATCAGCTTATCTAACCAATAGTAGAACTGACAGGTATTTTCAGGAGATGCAAAGTGTTGTGGTTTTGTGTCACTGAGTTAAGGAAAGCTTTACCTTTAATATGTAAAATGTTTGGGTTCAGTGGAATGAACCAGATGCCTCCTTCCTAAAAGAAGGCTAAAAATGCACCGGACACATGAAATCTTTACTTGTAGTTTAGTGAATAAAGCCTTTTTTAAATATTACAAGTTTAATTAATTCCTCCTTCAGACAGTGTGTTTCTGAAATGTTGGTTTTCTTTTTTTTATTTATAGGTTCCTTCAGAGAAATCTGAATCCTTTGCATCCATGTTGAGACGCTCTCCTTTAATTCAAATGGGACCTGCCAAAGATAAAATTGCCATCGGTCGAATATTCCATGTTGTAGAAGATGATCTGTATATAGATTTTGGTGGGAAGTTTCACTGTGTGTGCAAAAGACCGGAAATAGATGGAAAGTAAGTAATAAACTTATGGTAAGCAATTAACATGTGTGAATGACATACACTTAGCTAATGGGACTTGACCATCTCTTTACTGAGCTTCAGTGGTTTGTATGAATTTTGTGGTTTAAAAGACAGAAGTTACCATATTGTGCAAAATGAAAGTATGATTGTGAACAGATCTGTGTAGCTCAGACATTGTTTTGAATGCAGATTCCTTTGCAACTTTCCATTACTGATATTTGTATTATTCCAGCTTTCAATGACCAAAGTTACTGAGTGTTTTGTCACTAAGGAAGGGGGAAATCATTATCATCTGAGTTGTTAAAACAAGCCCTATTTATTGAAATACTTGGGAGTCTTGTGAATGTGGAACTTTAATCACATGTAAGTTTTAAGCCTTCCTAGGCAAGAACTATCTATGCTAAATAGATATACCTGAGGTGATACACTGGGAAGTTTACACATTATTGGTGATAATAAAGTTTATAATAGTTAATCAATGCTAGTGTTGTCAAATATTCTATATTGTAGAATATTTTATACAGATTTTGGTGGCAAGTTTCACTGTACGGCCTAAACAGAAACAACTCTGGTGGAACTAGGACGTCTGTGCTAAGGAATTCAGTAGTTAAAGAGCTAAAAGATAAGCAAGCAACAGATTCTAGTGGAAATTACATTTATAAGCTTTCTAAGCTGTCTTTTCCTCTTATGATTGTGTATTATTCAAAAACATCTTGTCTATTTGATGTGTATCCAGGTTCAGACTGAAGCTCCTTGTTCAGATGAGCTAGCCTTCTGCCAAGCCTGCTAGACTTTTGCACAGTGAGGAAGAGTTTGTCCTTATAGATCAATGGCCTATTCCAGGCACCTTTTCACATAAGGACAGCTTCCTGTCTACCCCAACTAAATTAAAGTTTACAGTTCTGAAGCCCAGATCTGGCACTTACCTTTCTCCCTTCAGTGTTTCAGTTCTGTCTTTGATGGTTGCTGTAGCCAAGGTTGCCATCGGCTGCTGTGTTCCCAAACAGTTCTTTCCTGCCTGTGATTTAACATGTCCAGCAGAAGACCTGCCGTAGTTGGGCTGACACCTCTGGCAAAAAAAATGTCACCAGGGCACTTGATCTAGATTATTTGCTCCCCTCATGTGTGTTTCTGCTTGAGCAGACCTCAGGACATTTGAAGTACCCTGTGAGGATCAAGGCCTGCAATCATGAGGTTGCTTCTGGTTATTTGAATGAGGCTTCAGGTACTCCCTCTTCTGATCAGGCAGCCCATAGCAGACATCCACCCTAATACTGTCCTTGTTGGTCTCCTCTCTGGTTCTGGCACTTAGCTCTCAACTGTCTCCTTGCATGGTTCATAGCAAGGCTCCATGCACTCATGCCCCTTCCTTGCTTGCAATGCAGCCCCCTTTGCTCCATGTTTGCTTGTATGCTTCCTCCCAGGTTTGAGAAGCGGGCAACTTTATGCATTGTCTTCAGATCTCTAACTGCAGTTCATTCATCTTGTGAATGCCGAGCCCATTGCTCGCCATGTCCTTGTGTGGGCTTATTACCTCCTTTTATCATGGTGCTCTGGAAACCTTGGGTGTCAAGGCAAGTTCGGAGAAAGTAATGAAGTAGATCGTTCTGAAAAGGCAGGCAAGTGTCTGTCCACTCCTTCCCTGCTCTCATCTTTCTACTAATGCTGTATGTAGTTTCTTCTGGTGCATGTTGCAGTAGTAAATTAAGAAATGGGGCCCAAGGAAGATCTTGTTGGAGTAGATTCTTCAGAACAAGTCAGTTGTCCATTGAACACTGGGAGCGTAAGTCAGGGGCTGAGAGAATCTAGGCTAATTGCATTTTCGGCTGCTTGTTACAATGATAAAAAGAAGCAGATACACATAAGACTTGTTTATACTTCCCTCTTATTGCTATTGAATGGGAGTGGAAAGAGCGAAATTAGCAGCCTGGGCATGGCCAGCATGGGTGAGTAAGCAGCTCCTAGAAAAGCTCAAATTTAAGAAGGAAGCATACAGAGGGTGGAAGCTAGAGCAGGTACCCTGGTGGGATTAGAGAGAGGTTGTCCAAGCAGCCAGGGATCAGGTAAGGAGAGCCAAATCCCAGATAAAATTAAATCTCACCAGGTATGTAAAGAGCAATAAGAAAAGCTTCTTACAGGTATGTTGGGGATAAAAGGAAAACCAAGGAAAATGTAAGACCTCTCCTGAAGGAAGAAGGGGAACTAGCTATGCAGGATATTGAGAAGGCTGAGGTTCTCAGTGACTTTTTTTTATCAGTCTTCTCTGGCAAGTGCTCCAGCCTCATCACAATGCCACAGCAGGTGAAAGCAGAAACTGGGAGAATGAAGTATCCCCCACTGTCAGAGGAAGCTTTGGGAAGTCCTTATAAGCAGCCTTCCAGTACCTGAAGGGACCTACAGGAAAGCTGGGGAGAGGCTTTTCATCAGAGAGAGTAGTGATAGGACAAGGGATAATGATTTTAAACTGAAAGAAGGTTGGATTTAAGTTAGACATCAGGAAGAAATTCTTCACCATGAGGCTTGTAAGGCGCTGGAATAGGTTGCCTATGGAGGTTTTGGAAGCCCCCTCCATGGAGATGTTCAAGGCCAGGCCAGGTTGGATGAGGCTTTGTGCAGCCTGATTTAGAGGGAGGTGTCCCTGCTTATGGCAGGGGGTTGGAACCTGATGATCTTTAAGGTCCATTCCAACCTTACCTGTTCTATGAGTCTATTTTTTTTAATGAAATAAAATTTGGAACTAAAGGTTGTAGTTCATTAAAAGATACAGACAGTGTTTCAGTGTTCAGGATATAATGGCAGTGGAAGTCGTCATGTTGATACTCTAGATCTAATGGATTTACAGCATTAATTTGGGATGTAAGTTACAGTTTCAGATCTCCTTTCTCCTCAGTTGAGTCCAGAAACCTGACTTTGTCTCTGACTTCTTAAGTCTTTAAATGCTATATGAACCTAATCTTCTAAATAAAAATGCAAGTATAAGAAAGAAATTAATATCTTGCCACCTTTTTCTACTTCGCTATGCTTCTGGAATTGGAATACCTAAAATTTATGTGAATTTACAAAAAATTGCAGTCACAGGTGATGTTTTGTTCTTTAGCTTGTCATAAGGTGCTGTGTATATAACATAATTGTACCAGTTCATTTCTAACTGGGTTTTGTAACATGAAATTTGTAAAGTACTTGTGGAATCAAAAATAAACATGGAAAACTGCTGTCTTAACTAGCTACATGTGTCATTAGTAGCATTCAGGTGCTGCTGAGTTTGTTTTTCTTAAGTAGTGGAAAGACATGCCTTTGCTTGTACAAGTACTTTGATCTGCTTATATAGTAAAGATAGCAGCTTGTTGATTTACAGAGTAAAGTTTGCCTTATCAAAACAAGTGTAATCTTTTCATACACTGGCCTCCTAGTAATGTGAAGGCTGAGAGTCTTTCGATGGACGCTGACTTCCCTTTGGAAGCCAATGACTGCTTTTGATCACCAGAATACAGGTCAAATAAGTGCTTGAGTATCCTCTACCAAAGCTTGAAAGTAACTGGGTGGAATTTGCTATGTGTATTTAGATCTGTACGAGCTTACATTGGTGACTGCAGACTTCGTTACTGTTATTTCTGTTGTCACTTCCTGCCAAGAATTACTTTATCACCAAATTGTACGTGCATATAATCAGAATAAATTTTTAATTTTGTTTGCAAAATGTTTATTGTTTGAGCTAAGGAGAAAAATGGGCATTTTAATTTTCAGAGAACAGATAATGTCTTGAAGGCCATCAGTTCAGGAGAGAATTAGTTTTCAGAGATGGAAATCCATGATAGCATTTTTATGAAGTCAGTTTTGAGAGCGCTGTCTCTTCTAGTACCTGTATTCTGGTGCTGATCTTGGGGTTTCCTGTAGCTGTCTTTTCAGGTATTTGGCAACTCCTCCAAAATACTAGTTTCGCATCTTTAGAGAAAAAAAGAAAACTTTGTCTCGCCATTTATGTAAGGTGGTATCTCCATGAGGACATGTGCTTTTGACTTTTCCTTGGCCATTCGTTTTTTTTCTCACCTGAACTCAACTATTCTCATGATACTATAACACAGTTTTCTTTTTCTTATATCATGTCCTTTGCTCTTTGAAAGTGCTAGAAGTTACTTGAAAAGAAACAAAAATGCTAGAAGAGTTTCTTGTCTGTAAAGATTGTTATCTTAAACTGCTCAGTCCTGATCTTAACGGTTATAATTTCTTGGGATGTCCGAGTGAAAAAGCCTGTAGTGCTACCACCATGTGGCCATAAGGAAGGATTCCACCCTCAAGATTGTCTTGGGTAAAAGAGCAACTGCAAAAAAAAGGCATCCCTCACTTGGAAAATTTGAAATAGCTACACACATACATTTTTTCCATCAGTTCTTCTAAAGTAAACATCAACCTTTAAAAAAAAACAACAAACCATAATCAAACAAAATGCTACAAACCATTAAGAAGCCTTAATAATCATACAAAACTTCAATCGAATAAACATTTGAAGAACCTGCTAGATATTTTCTTTTGGTTTTCACTACTTGTTTTCCTTTGTCCTGTCCTCTTTGGGAAAGCTGTTTTGTCGGATTGCAAAAAATATATTTCATTCTCAGCATTGATGGTATTGAGATTGGAAGCAGGTGTCATAGGAAGAGACCAAAGATATTGCTGGTACAACCTTGCTGGAGTCAGGCAAGGATGTATTTGGTTATGAATAACAACAACATTCATTATTTGGGGCTTATTTAAAGTTACTGTAGTATTTATTACCCTTATGATTTCCAAATCTTATTTAATATGGGCTGTACTTATTTAATATATACTGTAATTATTGAAAACATTTTTCTTTATACACTTAGACTTAAGTGCTGTATTAAATTTGTGTTTTATGCCTACAACATAGCAATTCTGTAAAGCATCCAGAGTTTATACAAATAAGAAAGCTTCTGTAGGAAGGAAAAGGCAAAGTAAGTTTTCAGCTGTAGGAAGAA